CCGCTCCTCGCAGAGCCGGCGCAACATGGTATTCCACCGTAGTAGTAGTCCACCAAGTTGCGCCGTGGATTACAGGAATCAGAGCGAGAGCCAGCCACGCGAGAGTGTAGCCAGCTCCGCTACCAAGTCGAAAACATGCTGGTAAGCTTAGGTATGTGTTACGCTTCAAGCGTTGCCATATCCCAGGCTTTGGCTCATATCGCATGAGCAAGAGAGCGAGACGAAGCATGGGATCTGGAGTAAAGGATAGAAGAGGCATCTTCAATGGAAAAAGTATTTTCCGATCTCAGATACCAGTCGTGCGCCTCGGTGAGGCACAGTCATATATTTGGCCGGGCCCGGCTTGAGCCAGGCACGGCAGCGGTACATGCTCGATTTATACCTCGCCTTAAACCTTCTCCGTTTAAAGTCCCGCGCCCTCCCACGGCCCGCGCCCACACCGTGGGACAGCCCAAAGGGTTCGGCGACTAGCAGTACAGAGGGCCCAGCGCAGTCCCCCCCCCCCCCCCCCTTGATGATGCGGAAACCCGCATCTGCCAGGCTTTTTCGCTTTTTTTTTATTTTCTTTTTTTTTTTTTTTCTATTTTTTTCTTTTTTTTTTTTTTTTTTTTTTCTTCTAATTCGTTTCTTTTATTTCTTTTCTTTTTTTTTTTTTTTTTTATTTTTTGTTTTTCTTTTTTCTTTTTTTTCTTTTTTTTTTTTTTTTTTTTTGTTTTATGTTTTTTTTTTTATTTTTTTTTTTTCGCGAGCGCCGCCAGCATTTCTCTGCGGCGTGGCGCGACCGAACAACGTTCGCTTAGGCAGCAGCGAAAAGGACTGCAGCCCGCACTTCTACGATGAGGGGCGCCGCAGAATGAAATGCTGCAGCGGCGCGGCCGAGAGGGCTTGCCCGCGCGACCCCCAGGGGCACATCCGAACAATGGGCGCGCGCGCACGCGTGCCGCGCAGCAAAGTGTGCACCGTCGCCGAGGAGCGGCCCCGAGGGTAGATGCCTTCTGTGGGGCACAGCACAGAGAGCGCAGCACAGGCGTGTTCGACGCGCGGCCCGAACACCACGTGGGTGCCTGATAGTACAGCCAAGGGGGTATTCATCGAACTTGCTGCAGGGGCGAGCCCACCAACCGCCCCCAACGAAGTGCCCCCCTGAGGTGTCCGCCCACCTGCGCTTCACCCGAGCCGCGCACTCCACGCATACTTCTGCGGCGCAGGACGCGCCGCCCTAATGCCGCGGCTGGGCGTCGCGAGATGAGAATGCAACGTGCTGCGCGCTTTAGGTAGAGTGCTGACCGCGCGCATGTCCCATGAGCTGGTGCAATGCTTTCTGCCCCACCTAAGGCCACCCGCCCAACGGGTGCCGCCGCGTTGCCCCTGAGAGGCAGGCGGCCCCGCGCCGAGGGGTTCACGCGTTGGGGCGCAGATGCAGCATTGCCCCCTCCCGTGGCCGACGCAGCGAGGCCCGCGCGCGCCCCTCCCCCCCGCGCAACGGGCCCCACATGTTGGGTTCCACGCGCGCGGGGCCGCTCCACGTGCTTATGCGTTCCGCGCGCAGAGGGCCGCGCGCTCACATGTTTGGCCTTCGGTTTGGCTCCACGCGCAGAGGGCGACGCGCTAAGCGTTACAGGCGAAGAGCGCCACGCGCATGGCTCCACGCGCCACGCGCATGGCTCCACGCGCCAGGTTCCGCACGCTGGCTCCCCCGCGCGCGCGTTGGTGGCGCCGCGCACATCGGACATCACTGTTTACCAGTACTGCGCCAGGAGGAGGAGTGGATGGAGGAGGAGGCGAAGGAGGGGGATGAACACTCGGGATTAGCAAGACACGGAAGATAATGATTGAAGGTTGCCCCAGGGGTTAGCACCCAAGGGAATGACAGCCCAAAGCCTGTCGCCGTATGCCCTAAGTCTCAGGTTGAGTTGGGTGCGATATGATCGCTGCGCGTGCACCAGGCCCGCGTTTTCAAATATTGCCACCCCCGCGGGAAGCCGCCCAAACATTAGAACCGAATGCCGGCGAAATCTGGTGTGCTTGACGCACGCATTAATATCAAATTTTAAAGCCAAAACATCATTACCGCTACCATCAAACGAGGCGCCCGTCACATCACTACTTTGGGAACTGCGTGGGCCCAGCGTCTCTGGCTAACCGGGGCCATCTGCGTCTGCGTGGGCGGTCAGTGCGGTTTGTTTGCGCTTGAACGATAGACTATGTCTGGGAGCGGGTTCCAGTGCCCGATGTCCGTACTTAGTTTTGGTTCAAGTCGGCAGATCTGCACGCCGCATCAGTTTCGTGTTGCGTAATTACCCAACGGATACGGCTAGCGACTTTCCAGGCACCCAGCCAGAGGGTACACATGATCTGTTCGGCAACAACGGCTGCGTACCTGAAGGAGAGGGGCATCACGTTCGTCACTCCCCCGATGGTCACGGTCACGGGTTCGAGCTACCTGTGATCCTCGTCGAAGACAGTATGCCTGCGTTTGGAGCCCGTGTCGACGGCGAGCCCCCCGCAGGGGCAGAGTCTGGTGGACCTGCCCCCGTCTCGGAGTGCGTTCGTCTCGGGGGCGATCCTGTGCGCCCCCAGCCTGGGCGTGACGCAGCCACTGACCCGTCGGCGACCTCGCGGACGCGCTCTCTTGGAGATGGGGGCGGCATCGGGGCCCAGAGCTCAGGGAAGAGAAGGAGGACCGCGGAGCGCACCTACAGCACACTCACCGCCGTTCCCACGTATGCGCGCGCTGTCTTCGAGGCAATGGACGGCGACGGCTAGGCGCCCCATCCTTCGGAGGCAGTGCGCCCCCAGCAGGTCTACAATATTCGCTACACTATCGAGGAGAGCTGGGATTCTGACGACCATGGAGCCCCGATCGGGCCGATTCAGTAGGTAGAGCACGGCAGAGTCGAGTTCGGCATTGCAGAGTGCACCGCGCAGGGCCAAGTCTGGCATTGTAGTAGGGTTGCGTACACTGCTGATGAGGGGTGGGTAGCATGCCGATGCGCACTGTCTACACCCGCATGCATGTTTCTCAATTGCTGCAGTGCGACGTGGGGTCCAGGGTACCGCAGTGCACAGTGCACTAGCGATGGTGGGCGCTCGCGTAGAGCGAAGTAGCGATGGATCGTTGATTGCGCGATGTTTCCATGCACGCCTTTTCTTACGTTCACAGCACGGGCACATAGTCTGCACAAGATCGTGCATGCTCGGGGTGTGCTCAGAGTTGGGCGTCGTTCCTTGAGGCGTGTCGGAGTAGAAACACTGTTGCATGGCAGTTGCAGCGTAGCCGAGCCATCCAGAGGACCGAGGATAAGGATGGAAGATGAGGAGGCGGAAGAGAGACAGAGACAAAAGAGAGCAAGAGGGGGAGACAGAGAGATAAAGAGAGGGATAGAGGATAGAGGGAGAGAGTAGGAGAGGGGGGCGATCAATCAAGGCCCTCCTGGACTAGTCCATCAACGCCTCCTCAGCGCATGACCCCTAGCCCCCCCCTGCGTAACGTTGGGCCTCACCCTAGCCATTTCGGGGGTCGCCCCTCACCCCGTATCCCCCCTTCTCCCCTCCCCGCTCCTCCTTCCCCCATCCCGATCCCTTCCCACTGCCCTTCCTCCCCATCCCTGCCTTGCCCATCGGCTTCCCCCATCCCCATCTCACCCTCGCGTGCCCAGGCCTATCCTCACCCCCACTCGCATCGTCCATCCGACATCCCCATCGCCAAACCCTCATGTCCAACCCTACCACCACCCCCATCCACCCCTCTCCGTAAGTATAACATCCCTCCGTAACCATCCGCACGTTGCCCTGCCGCTGTCTTTCGCCGAACATCCACGCACCCGTGGTTACTAGCCGCTAGTGTCTCGTTCAGTTCGCCCTGTCTTATGACCGAGCCGCGCGAGCCCGGATCGGCGACCATCTACGCAACGCATGCGCACCGTCAAAACGGACCTCTGGGCAGGCAGTTCCAGTAACATTCAGCCATGGGCAGCCCCCGCCTCCTTGGCATTGTAACCCATCGTGGGAACGAACCTCTTCTTAAACAAACAAACCTCGGTGCACGCACAGCCCCCCCCCCCTCCCCCCTTCCATGTGCACCTCCTCCAGAAGTGCCTTGAACGGGGAGCAAGTGAGGCCGCCGCCTCGTTGCGGCGCATTCCCTCTTGGCTCTCTTCGACCGATGGGGGGGCTGGTGGCGCTTAGGATCAAGGGGGTGAGGAGGGGGGGGGGAGAGGAAGAGGAGGAGGCAGAAATGAAGGGCGAGGAGGAGGAGGAGGAGGAGGGGGAGGAAATACGAGGAGGAGGAGGAACAAGAGGGTGAGGAGGAACACGCTGCTCCTCCTTCATTCCGCCTGCATTGCTTTGCGCACGTTCTATTGGCATGCGGTCGCCGTGCCCGTCGAAGCCCCTCTTGGATCCCTCTGGGCCCCCTTCGCAGTCGGGCCCCCATCTCGGGGACCTGTGAGCTCCTTCGGGATCCCTCTGGGTCCCTCTAGATCCTTCTGGGCTCCCTCTGGATCCCTTTGGACTCCCCTCTTGAGGACCTGTCGGGCTCTTCGGACTTTTGAGGCATTGCCCCGAGGTGGGCAACGAGAAGCTCAGAAGGTTCCCCCAAACAGCCCCAGCGGCACCTACCGTCAACGACATGCGTGGATTACCAGCGTCCCCCCCCCTTTCGGGGCTTCCAGGGCGGCGCTTAAACGCCCCGGGCTGCCGCGAGAAGGCGGGCCAGTGTAGGTCGACACCAGGCCTCGCAAATATGCTCGAAGTCGGATGTGCCTCGCCGAGTCATCACAGATGTTTGTAATTGTTTTGAACATTACCCCTCGCCCCCCCCCCATTCCCCCGTCCCGCGCGGGCCCCCCCGCCCTTCCCCGCCGCTGCCCCGTTCGCCCGTGGCGTAGCCGTTTTGGCTCAATACGTGTGTGCGATTCGAGTTTCTCCAGAAGCGGAGTCAGCCCGCGGCCTTCACTCGGCCGCGGGGGCCCGGCTGTCTCGGGGCGAGGCGGCCGCGCATGGGGGCTGCCGAGAAGAAGGCGCAGAGGGTCTTGAGGGAAGCTCGGGCTGGCAATGCTGCCCAAGGCGAGCCCCTGTCATCGGCCATGAGCTGTGCTTTCGCTTGCACGGCATTCGCGGCAGCACCAAGCACGGCGCCCAGCATTGGAGGAGGGCGCGGGGGCAAGCGCGGCATCAACACCCTGAAAGATGTCACGGGGCGGCAGCAGAAAGCAGCCCGCCTGGCGCGCACAGTCTGCATCGTCTTTGGTTGCCAGAAGAAGTTGAACACATGCGACAAGCGGGCTGGGCGCGTCATGCGCGAGCCGCACTGGCAGACATACGCCATCTGCTACAATTACATGGCGGACGATGAGATAGGCGAGAGGACGGAGAAAGATGAAACGTTTCGGAAGGCCTTCGATTCTGCGCACTCCCATCGCGTGACCATGGATGCTACTGTCGCGGAGTTCGGCAACACTGACATCGAGACGCACTTCCGCAACGAGGCCCGCTGCGAGCGGCGCGTTGGGTTCTGGTCGAGGAGTGACTTGCACGGGCTGATCGGCTTCATGCCCGACCAGCTGAGCGCGAAGTGCCAGAAGCTGTGGGGCGAGCATGGCAACCCTCTCCTGGGGGTCTTGGTTGATGAGTTCGAGGACGCACCGCGCACCTTCGTGATCTCGTGTGGAAAGTCCGTTCTGAAGTTGGGCGCTGAGTCGCGAGCTGCGGTTACCCTCCACAAGGAACAGCCTAGTAAGATCCACGATCAGTCCGTGGCGAGCTTAAAGAATGAGTACTCTCCGAGCGGTGCCCCCATCCCCTCGATCAAGACCCTCCTCAAGAGAGCCGACGAGAAGCGCAGGCTCATCGAGATCAAGAAGGCCGGGGGGGAGAGAGCGACTGTGGAGAGCGAGGTCGAGGCATCCAAACGCCGCGCCCCTGCCGATCCGTGCATCACCCCGTTCCGTGTAGGGGCTGGGGGGGGGGATGATGCAGGATTGGCATGGGTGCGATTGGGTATCCTCTCCAGGGCCTCGTCCACGTCGAAGAGGGCACCGATGTTGCGGAGTCGGCCATGGGCGACATGGCTGCTCCCAGTGACGCCGCGCCACAGCCGGCGCTGCATAGGTCGCCCGCGCCTTCCCCCCCAGCGAGGAGAGGCAGCGCTGCCAGTGTGGTGTCGAACGGATCCCAGCCTCCTCTCAACAGCCCAGGCAGCCCGAAGGGCGGTGCTGGCGGTCACTTGGCCAGCCCTGGACGCGTGCCTGGTGGCGAGGGCATCGTCGACGTCAGCGAGCTCATGCAGTCGGACTCCGTCAAGGCCAGATGGACGCTCCAGCTCCACAAGGTGAGCCACTCGCTCGCCTTGACTGGCAAGAAGAGCCTCGGGAGGCAGAAGAACACGCTGAGGACGTACGCTCAGGAGGCGGATACCCTGGGGAGGAGCGAGGGCGACGGCATGCGGGAGCACGCCTCGCTCAATGAGGCCGCCGAGCAGATCGCCACCGAGAATGGCTGGTGCAGCGTGGCCAGGACCGATCTCGACGCCCTGCTACCGAAGCTCGTGGATGCTGGCGTCGACTTCCCCACCAAGTCCAAGAATGATTGCATCGCGCGTGCGGTCCAGGATTGGTCGCAGAGCACTGCCAGCCTCGAGGAGAGGGTTACCAGCCTCCTCGACATGGTCCAGGCGTGGCCAAGTACCGCCGACAACGGTGCGTTCGAGCCCCTGCAGCCTCGACTTCGCCACATCGAGGGTTCGCCGAAGGACCGCATGGCTACGATGACGGATATCTTGCTCAAGAAGGCGATCTGCCCCCTCATCAAGGACGGCGCCCGCAACGCCAGTGTCACGATGCGCGTGATGACCACCATCATCACGGCCATATGCGCCGCGTCCGACGACGACCAGCTGGACTTCGAGCCGTACGAGGATGGCGCGGACGAGCTGTGCTCCCTGCGTCGTGGCATCGTCATGGTCATTGAGCCCGACCTCCAGGAGCAGCAGAAGGGCGCCACACACATTGATTTCGACAAGTTTCAGGACGTGTCCGCCAGCGCGCCACCAGGCGAGACCAATGTGATTGCAACGTTGAAGCAGAACGGTCATTATAAGCATCTGCTTGCAGAGTTCGTTCGTTGTCGGCCTCACCTTGACGAGCTCATCCCTCGCTTGATCGATAGCGAGAAGAGGGTGACATCTGTAGATCCGGCGAGCCCGTTCCAGGATAACTGCGACATTTTGCTGAACGCTTGGAAGGTGAAGAGGAGCGCCAAGGGCAAGGTACGCCCATCCCAGTCTAAGAAATTAACTGAGCTTCTCGAGGATTCTACCTTGTCTGTGATTGGTGCGGTGCTCTCTTCCATCGAGGCTGGCACCTTCCCCGACGAATCCTGCGGCCATCCCAAGGACATCGTGGCGACGCGCAGTGAGGAGAAGCTGGCGATGCCAGGAGCCGGCGCCATTCAGGCCCACTTGCTCAAAGTCGCCCAGAAGCAGACAGTGGTTGGTCACTTGCACATCTTCTGCAATGCCCTTGACTCATTCTGTCGCGACGCCCCTCGCGAAGCTCGCAAGGCTGCAGCCGTCACCCTCGGCAGCCATGCGAGGACCTACGCCGACTTCGGCATCGCCGAGAAGAACGAGGACTTGGAGCTCAAGATTGCTTTGTGCATGGCCATGGTCGTGGACCGCATGGGCGCTGGCGAGGACGTTCACATGGTAGAGGACGTTTGCAACTACATAATGCTCCAATGCCAGCTGTGCGCCCAGTTGTTCGAGTTCGTCAAGGAGCCGACCACCGACGTTGCGAAGGCGAAGGCGTGCCTGGAGGCGCTGAGCGGCCTGCAGTGGGACTTCGCCAGCATCTACACCTACAAGGGCCTGGGCGCTGACTTCGACGAGCGCATGGCCGCCGACACGCGTGGAGTTGCCATGGGCCGCTTCGCGGCGGGGAAGCTGGCGCTGGTGGGGGCGCCAGGGCTTCCTGGATGGATTCGCCCAGTGCCCAACTGCGCAACGCTGCACTTTGCGGGCCTGAGCGGGGCGATGAGGAGGACGAGGGGTGACTGGGGCAATGGGGTCGGGAATGGGGGGGGGAGGGGGGGGGAGGGGGGGTCACTCGATGGATGAGGCATAGGTGATAAACGAAATCGCGATGAGATGAAGGCGGTGACTGAGGGGGGGAGGAGCGGAGGGAGGAGGCATGATGAAGGATTGCGAAGAATGATCTACCTGGGGGAACTTACAGCGTTCGCAGCGTTGCCTGGTTGGGCGCTGGAGCGCTCCGATCGAGAGAACCTCGAGGCACAGGCTGTAATTGATAACCTCGCCGCGGTGGCAGAGCAGATTTGCTTTTGATTGTTTTGGTTTTTCGGTTTTCACATTGCAAATGTGGCGCGCGCCTGGTGTCCAGAAGGTGCGCTGGGGGCGACCAAAACAACGCCCGGAAGAGCGCCTGGGAGCGCGCTGAGGCGAGCGCCCGGGCGAGCCAAGAAGAGCGCCGAGAACAGCGCCCAGGAAAGCGCCATCAAGAGTGCCCAGAATATGGCCCAGACGCGAATCTGGAAGAGCGCCCGAAAGAGCGCCCGGAAGTGCGCCCAGCAGCGACCGATTTTGCGACCGATTTCGCGTCCGATTCAATATTAAAACAAATCAGACGCAAATCGGATTTAAAATCGGACAAAAACCGGACGCAAATCGGATGCAAAATCGGACGCAAATCGGATGCAACATCGGACGCAAATCGGACGCAAAATCGGACGCAAAATCGGGAGCAAAATCGGACGCTGATGGCGTCGACCATTTCTGGGCGGATGCGGCAGCGTATCGCGGTGCATCATGGCGAGGTCTGGTAGGGTGTGTATTGCGGACCCATGCGCGCAATTCAGCGTTGGAGTTTTAGCGATGTGGCGAACGACAAACTGCGATATCGCGTTGTGTCCAGGTCGGGCCAAATCGACAGAAAAATCAGATCGCCGCTTCTGCGGCCGTTTTTCAGGTGATAATTGACAGGGACTTCTTCGATCGCTGGACAACGGAAGCCGTTCAGCTGGCATCTGCAGTGATGGAGGCCGACTGCGCGGCCAAGGCGGATTGAGACCAGTTGTGCCCAAACCCGACCGCGCCACGATCTACGGCTGCGCCGCCCTCCTGTGGCATGAGGGGTTGGCCGCCGACGCGGCCATCGAGGACTTGCAGGGCCGCGCGAAGACCGCGCTCTTCGCCAGCGCGCGGCCTGCCGCTCTGAAGGGCGAGCTGGACGCACTACAGGGGAAGCTGCAGACCATCAAGGGCGCCATGGCACTCCGCGGTGACGAGAACGCCGACCGCTTGCCGATCGTCGGTGACGCGCAAGAGCTAGTCGACCGAATGATGCTCACGCATTGCGAGGCTCTCTGCTTGGTGTTCTTCCGCGACTTCGGGGAGTCGCCGCTCAAGCTCAAGCGCAACCTGAAGGCCCAGATGGCGATGCTCCCAGAGAAGCTCCACCAGAAGTTGCCAGCAGCGCTGCTGGCCAACATCAGGGACAAGGTGGGCATCAAGAAGTGAATGCAGGTGTTGCACGTGTGCTGCTGCTGCTGCGGTGTTGCGTGTATGGACCTTCTGGTGCAGTACGTTTTGTTTCTAAGTAAATGCAGCCGTGCGTGGCTGCCCGTGCGCGTGGTGACTCGCGTCTCGTGCCGGCGTCTGGCCCGTGCTCGCGCCGGCAACGGCGCCCTCGATTGCGCAGCTGCTAGACACATGGGAGGATTCATCAGGGGCGGGCTGCGCAAGCGCCGCACGGGGGAATGGGCAGACGCGGGCGATGCTGGATCCAGCTCCGCACGAACGCTCATGGGCGATTCGTTTGAATCACGACTGCAGCTAGGTTTAGCAGAGAACTTAAGCAAGGTACCAACGTCGCCAGCACAATAGCATAGTCATCCCCGCCCCCCCCCTCGTCCTTCCCCCTGCTTCCGCCGTCGTCCGTTATCTGTCTTCTCCCCCTGTCGTTGCCTCCTTCCCTCGCGCCCCCGCCCCCTCCCTAGCTCGCCCCTTCCTGCGAGCGTCATGGGTGGCTGGGGCTGCGGGGGCAAGAGGGAGGGGCTTTAAACGCGTCACGGGGGCTTCATTAGGGGCGCCAGCGATGGCGCAGGAGCGGCTGGAGGGCTGGATGGGGGGGGGTGGGGTGGGTGGGGGGGGGGTGGGGGGGGGGGGGGGGTGGGGGGGGGGGGGGGGGGGGGGGGTTGGGGGGGGGGGGGGGGGGGGGGGGCCTAGAGGAGAGAGGTGCGAGAAGGGGGCGGGTGTTGGGGGCGCATGGGGGGTAAGAGGAAGCGCGGGGCGAATGGCGAGAGAAAGAAGCCCCGCGCAGAAGGGCACGCGGAGGCATGGACGAGGAGAGCAGAAGGGGCGCAGAGGGAGGAGGAGCAGACGAGGCAGAGGGGACAGCGCGAGGGAGAGGGAGAGAGAGAGAGAGAGAGAGAGAGAGAGGAGAGAGAGAGAGAGAGAGGAGAGAGAGAGAGAGAGAGAGAGAGAGAGAATAAGAGAGAGAGAGAGGAGAGAGAGAGAGGGAAAAGAGAAGAGAGAGAGAGAGAGAGAGAAGAGAGAGAGAGAGGGTTGGGCGCCCGCCGCTTCGCCGCGTGGTCGGCGCTTATTGCGAGTAGGCGGAGCGCGGCCCCGCCTGCCCGCCCTGCCGCCGCTGCCCCCCCTCCTCCTCCTTCCCACCCCCCCCCCTTCCTACTATTTCCCCCCCCCCCCCTTCGTCTGCGCGCGTGTATGTTGGGGTTCGCGCCGCGGGGGGGCTGCCCGCTGGTGCAGTATGGCTCAATGCTGCACTGGTTGCCGATCTATTGTTCCCCAGAGCCGTGAAACAATTTCGGCGACCATTCGAGCTAATATTTTCCCAGCGTGCGTCTGGGGCCACCATTCGGGCGACCATCTGGGCAGCCATTTCCTTTTGGGCGACCATTTGGGGAACCATCCGCGAGACCATTCGTGAACCATTTCTGGGGTTCCACCAATCTGCGCAACGAGAATATCATAGCCCTATGACAAATAAGCAATGCCCTCCCGAAGCTAAACGAACCCTAGGAAAACGAATCAGGACCCTGCCAAAACTAAACGAGACCCTAGGAACACGAACCAGGACCCTAGCACAACTACACGAGGCCTAGGAACACCAGACAAGACGACAGGACAATTAACAAGACACTAGGAAAACTAAACAGGACCCTGCCTAACCAAACCTAACCATATGAAAACTAAGCATGACCCTCGCAAAACTAAACGAGACCCTCGGACAGTTAAACAGGACCATGCCAAAACTAAACGAGACCGGGGGAAATTTAAACAGTACCTTAGCAAAGCTAAACGAGACCATAGGACAAGTAGCCAGAACCCTGCCGAAACTTAGCGAGACCCTAGGACAACTAAACAGGACCCTGCCAAAACTAAGCGAGGCCCTACGACAACTAAACAGGACCCTGCCAAAACTAAACGAGGCCCTGGGAAAACTAAACAAGACCTCCGCATATTCCAACGAGACCCTAGGACAACTAAACAGGACCCTAGCACAACTAAACGGGACCATCGGAAAACGAAACAGGACCGTGCCAAAACTAAGCGAGACCCTAGGAAAACGACACAGAACCCTACCACAACTAAACGAGACCCTTGGCAAACTAAACAGGACCCTAGCAACGCGAAACGATACCCTAGGACAACTAAACAGGACCATGCCACAATTAAACTAGACCCTGGGCAACCTAAACAGAACTTTGCCAAACCTGAACGAGACCCTAGGACAACTAAACAGGGCCCCCGCAAAACTAAACGATACCCTCGGACAATTAAACAGTGCCCTAGCAAAACTAAACGAGGCCAACGGAAAACTAAACAGAAGCCTAGCAACACTAAACGAGGCCATAGGAAAGCTGTACCAAGACTAACGAGACCCTAGGACAACTAAGCAGGGCCCTGCCAAAATTAGCTTGGCGAAGGACCCAACCATATGCAGTTGTGAATGCCCAAATGGGGCTGGGTGGTGGCGGACGCATGCGGGCGGTGCCACTGCGGCCTTCGGTGGGGCTCCCCATGGGGCCACGAAGCGTTGTGCTGGGTGGGTGAGACGCGGTCAGCGAAGGCTGTGCTGCGTGGTGGCGGGCGCATGCGAGCGGTGCCACTGGGACCTTCGGTGGAGCTCCCTATGGGGCCACGAAACGCTGTACTGGGTGGGTGAAGCGCAGGCAGGGAGCAAGGGCTGCGCTGGGTGGTGGCGGACGCAAGCGGGCAGTGCCACTGGGACCTTTGGTGGACCCCCATATGGGGCCACGAAGCGTGCGAGGGGTGTGCCAGAATGGGGTGTGGAACCGCATGCCAGCGCAGCCACTGGGGCCTTCGGTGGAGCTCCCTATGGAACCACGAAACGTGTGAGGGGTGTGCCGACATGGGGGGTGGAACCGCATGCGAGCGCAGCCGTTGCAGCGTTCGGTGGAGCCCCCTATGGGGCCACGAGGCGCGTGAAGGGCGTGCCGAAAAAAAAGTTGGTGGAACCGCATGCGAGCGCAGCCACTGGGGCCTTCGGTGGAACTCTCTATGGGGCCACGAACCGTGTGATGGGTGTGCCGAAATGCGGGGGGAGGGGTGGGGGGGGGGGGGGGGGGGGGGGGGGGGGGGGGGGGGGGGGGGGGGGGGGGGGAGGGGGGGGGGGGAGGGGGGAGGGGGGGGGGGGGGGGGGGGCGCGGGGGGGGAGGGGGGGGGGGGGGGGGGCGGGGGAGGAGGGGGGGGGGGGGGGGGGGGGGAGGGGGAGGGGGGGGGGGGGGGGGGGGAAGGGAGCAGGGGGGGAGGGTGGGGGGGGGGGGGAGGGGGGGGGGGGGGGGGGGGGGGGGGGGGGGGGGGGGTGGGGGGGGCACCAAAATAGGCGAGCGCGCCCCATTGGAGCCACCCACGAAACGTGTGAGGGGTGTGCCAGAATGGGGGGTGGAACCGCATGCGGGCGCAGCCACTGGGGCCTTCGGTGGAGCTCCCTATGGAACCACGAAACGTGTGAGGGGTGTGCCAGAATGGGGGGTGGAACCGCATGCGGGCGCAGCCACTGGGGCCTTCGGTGGAGCTCCCTATGGGGCCACGAAGCGTGAGAGGGGTGTGCCAGAATGGGGGGTGGAACCGCATGCGGGCGCAGCCACTGGGGCCTTCGGTGGAGCTCCCTATGGGGCCACGAAACGTGTGAGGGGCATGCCAGAATTGAGGGCGGAACCGCATGCGAGCGCAGCCACTGGGGCCTTCGGTGGAGCTCCCTATGGAGCCACGAGGCGTGTGAGCGGTGTGCCGAAATGGGGGCGGAAACGCGTGCGTGTGCAGTCATTGGGGCTTTCGGTGGAGCTCCCTATGGGGCCACGAAACGTGTGGGGGGTGTGCCAGAATGGGGGGTGGAACCGCGTGCGAGCGCAGCCACTGGGGCCTTCGGTGGAGCTCCCAATGGGGCCGCGAAGCCGTGTGAGGGGTGTGCCAGAATGGGGGGGGTGGAAACCAGCCCATCGAGGCAAGCATTATACTGGGCCTACGGGTGAAGCTCCCCTAGGGGCCACGAACGTGTGAGGGGTATACAACCTTGAGAAGTGGAACTCCGCAAATGCGAGCGCAGCCATGCCCATCTGGGCGCCTTGGGCCTGAGCTCCCTATGTAGCCACGAAGGCGTGTGAGGGGTGTGCCGAAATGAAGGGGTGGAGCAGCAATGCGATGCGCAGCCGCTGGGGCCCTATTCGGTGGTGTCCCAAATGGTCCACGAAGCGTGTCAGGGTGTGCCAGGATGGGGGGAGGGGGGGGGGGGGGGGGGGTGGAACCAAATGCGAGCGCAGCCACTTGGCCATTCGTGGAGCTCTCTATGGGGCCACGAAGCAGTGTGCGGGGTGTGCCAGAATGGGTGTTGGATGGGGAGAGGGGGGGGAGAGGGGGGGGGGGGGGGGGGGGGAGGGGGGGGGGGGGGGGGGGGGGGGGGAGGGGGGGGGGGGGGGGGGAGGGGGGGGGGGGGGGGGGGGGGGGGGGGGGGGGGGGGGGGGTGGGGGGGGGGGGGGGGGGGGGGGGGGGGGGGGGGGGGGGGGGGGGGGGGGGGGGGGGGGGGGGGGGGGGGGGGGGGGGGGAGGGGGAGGGGGGTGAGGAAGGAGGCGGGAACGCGGGGCGCCGTCTCTTCAAAACGAGGGCCCAACACCACGCGATGGTTGGAAAAAATACGAGACCCGAGGACAACTAAACGAGACCCTGGGAAAACTAAACATGACCCTAGCAAAACTAAACGAGACCCAAGGACAAGTAAACATGACCCTACCAAAACTAAGCGAGACCCTGGGAAGACGAAATAGGACAATGCCAAGACTGAGCGAGACCTTAGGACAACTAAATCGGACCCCACCACAACTAAACGAGACCATAGGAAAATTAAACAGGACCCTACCAAAACTAAACGAGACCCTAGGACAATTAAACAGGACCATGTCGCAATTAAACTAGCCCCTGGGAAAACTAAGCAGAACCGTGCCACAACTAAACGAGACCCTAGGACAATTAAACAGGGC